AAATACGGATTTGAGCCATAGGATCGATGCGAGTTACTCAGGTTTAGTAGATAATTAATGAAGGAGAGTACATAAGAGAAAAAATGGATATTGCGTAGGTAGTTATTAATAGCATTCACATATAGACGATCTATACCAAATCATGTCTTGAAAGATTTTTTTAGATTTCTCAGAGGATCGCAGTATTTTTTGTGTGCAGTATTTTTTGGTGGAGCGAGATTTGCAGGTATGAAATTTTAAAGACTTGAGTGCATCGTGTTCTCAATTAAAAATAAAGATGTTAAAATACAGAGCCCAACCAAAGCTAGTAGTAATGCACTTATCTTATATATAACGTAATTAATTACCAATGAACAAAAATAAATTTTCACTCTGTACCTTTTTCCGAAAAATAATCTTAATATAACGCCACTGTACAATAGCTGACGATCTGACGAGATATCCCCGTATAAAGGCAAACAAACATCAGGAGTTTTCTACGTTCAACAAGTCAACAATCCTAATTAGACCCTTAATTAATTAACCACTTAAAAAGATACTCACGCGCTACAGCCGGCGATGAATGGGTCGACGCGTTTACGGAGGTAATTTTCCATTTTCTTTTCTTGTTTTTACAGTTATAAATTATGTGCAACACTGAGTATTTTTAGATATATCTAATCATGATAGTTAATATAATAATTTTTGTTTTGGTAATTGTTCTTTGGCTGAAGGGTGTTGATTCTTTGAAAGCTTAATTACTAATAAAAATGCTCTTATTAGAAGTAATATTAGATAATTTATCGCGTATATCTGTCATATTTTCAAGTACATTTCAAGTACATTGTAAAACGAATAATCTATCAAAGTTTTAAATATTGTTTAAATTTTAAATACATAAATATAGAAATAAAAAATTATAAAAATACAATGAAATATTAAACATAGAAGTACCTGATGAAGAAAATAAAAAAGAAGTCCACCTACTGATCTTGAAGTAGATATTTCAATCGGCACATAATACTATTTTATTATTTAGTTTAGTTTTAAAACTTCACCAAACAACCAGTTGTTTCTGGTTCATTAAATAAATTCATCGATTCCATAAATTTTAAGCAACAAGCTCCAAGTTGGAATCGTTCATGTTCAAATAATTTTTAATTTCTCTTTTTAAGTTATAAAAGAGGATTTTTGTCGTATTTCGGTTTATAGGCCAAAGATACAACTCTCGACGTAAGTTATAACGACTTTGGAAAGTTTTTAAAGACCGATATTACACCAGTTTTGCTGTTTCTGCTACGGAAAATCTGTTTTCATTTAAAGTTTAATTTGTTTCGACACGAAATTCAAACTTTTTAAATTCGGAAAATTATTTCAGAAACGAACATTTTTGATAATCCTAATTAAATAGTGTGGAAACGATTATTTAAATAAATGGATAATATACGAAGTGGAAAGTCTAATTGGAACAAATTTTGTAACTAAATAAATAAAGGTTTGTCGCAAAATTTTTAAAACATGTCAATTTTTGTTTTAAATGAGGCATATTACGAAGAATTTTATTTATTTTTTAGTTATGTGGAGACTTACAAAAAACCCCAACTTTTTTAAAGGAAGGGAAGATTGATTAATTTTTAATTTGAAAGCTTTTTCAATTACAAATACAATTACATTTTTTTTTGTAACCGTTTTATTGAATATTTACTTTAATGCAATAAATATTTAAAGTGCTTTCCACCTTGTTGCTGACAATCCCTAATCTGGCGTTACTTGTCTGCTCGGCGTGATGTCGTTAGGTTTAGTGGCATAAACCTTGCTTTTTAGATATCCCCATTAAAAAAATCTAATGGGGTAAGATCGGATGATCTAGGTGGCCACTCAATTGGGCTCCTCTTCCAATCCCTATTTGGAAAAACTTCGTTGATTTTGAGTAAAATGTGAAATCACATCCGTTGGTCAAATAAGTTGGGAAACATTAAATTGAAAATTATTGACCCATTTAAAATAAGAAGAGAGTAAAAATTAATATCTAAACATTTTAGATAGACCACGTTAAAGGTTTTTTATAAACACGCCTCTGAGTTATTAACATTTGATTTTAGACAATCCTAAACGTTTGCTAAATCAAGGATCAATTAGAATGTTCAATCCACTTCATAGCATTGCTTGTGAGCTAATTAGCAAGACCAGTGGTTCTCAAACTTTTTTGGTGACGGACCCTTTTTAAAAAGTGAAATATTTGACGAAGCCCTAAACACATTTCGGAAAAAATCCTCCTTGCTCTAGCCTCTTGCCAGGTCCCTTCCGTTTCTTCTTTTCCTGACTTCTAAAAAAAAAAAGCTCCTCCAACCCAAAATACCAACTCCTACAAAAAAAACCCAAGTGTAGCGATAGGTACTGCCTTTTTTGTTATTTTCTTCGCGGAGTCCCCACAAAGGCTTTGCGGAGCACCAGGACTATTCTGTTTACAATATTATTTCTCGTTCCTCGTCAATTATAATTGGTATTTTTTGATTAAGAGCGTTTGACCCAGGCCTCTATCCCTAGACATTCGAACTTATTTTTTCTGCTTACTTTCTTACACTTATCAATTACTTGCTAAATTAATTTTTTACTCTATACTGGCAAATACGCCGTTGCGGTGAAAGTCGATAAGAGTTACATCTAAGTAATTGTTGTAGTCTGCTTTGCGCTCATGGTTTATGCATGCCGCGTGCCTCTCAGTTTAGAAACTGAATATTTTAGAATGTCTAATTTACTGTGAGTATATACATGAACCGAACGAGTGTTCCAGATGGATCCAATGAAAGTCGTCTTAGAGATATACTCGGTCATTTATTCAAATCTGGCGAGATAAGATCGGCAATTCAATGAGATACTCTTGCGTTTTGCCAATGGCTTGATTAAAATGAATGACTTAGTTATTTTTTTTTTCGGTGTACACAGACGGTCAACGTTGATGTTGTAGAGTTTATCATTTTATTTGCGATTCAATGCTAACCTCGTTTAAAGATAAAACTAGTTAATTTAGCATTAACATTAGTCAGGTAATTTTTATGCAACTGTAAAGTAAAAACAAACTATTTAAATTTTAAGACTTAAAAGTGCATGCATCTACTTGTAGAAAATTCTAATTTTCAAAATTATGGAATACAAAGAAGCGAAATATTTCATACAAGAAAATTAGAAAGATCTGGAAAACAATTAAATCAGTTTAGCTTTTCAACATAAACTAGTCACAACGAAATAGGTATCACTGAATTAATTATTGAAATCTTTTTAAATGTCCCCCGTATTTTCCATTAAAATTTATACAAATAATGAGCACACCTAAATGCATATTTTCAATATAAAAAAAAACTTTTTTATGAGGAGGTGAGAAAAAAAATATATACGCAAAAAATTGTTAAAATGCATATTTATTCAGTTTTGAGTCAAGAAAAAATTAAATGCAAATTAAAATATAATCAATTGCATTTACCATTTTTACTTTCCTATCCATATACAGATAAGGAAAGTATAGGAATCACGATTTTTTCGACCTCGAGTTTTCAAATGATTTTTACGTTTTGGGGTTCCCTAAATCCGTTTTGATTATTTTCGCGATGATGTATGTGTGTGTGTCTGTATGTGTGTCTGATACAAAGAAAAACACTAAATTTTAAACTTAAGCTTCATTCTGGCCTGCAATGAACTGATCTTTTTAATCGAAAGAAACTCTTTCATTTAATTAATAACAGGTTAATGAATTTGAATCTCTAATATAAAACAACTTTATTTTCCAAAGTGTTTACATCATGTAGAATTTGTAACCTTACAGCATCACCTAAATCATCATCATCATCATCATCATCATCATCATCATCATCATTATCATCATCATCATCATCATCATAATCATCATCATCATCATCATCATCATCGTCGTCATTAAAATCCTCCAGAATCAAAATTTTCTCTATAACATAACAATATTTTTTTCAAAAAGTACCCACGGTTATAAAGTCTATCTTTTCCTTTCAGATTACAACGTTAACGTATCGTCAATTTCTACGTTTACGTCATCAAAATACGTATACGTTTGTAGCATTGCTTTAAAACTCTCTATTATTGTCTATTAAGTGACGTAGTTTCCATAAGTGGGTAACAAAAACTTTGTTAAATCCTTCAACAATTTTAATTCTACATCAATCAAGTATGTAAAAACGTATTTTGTTTACGAGTTTTTTACCAATACATTTTTACATTTTGAAAGAAAACAATATATAAAACCTTAAAAGCATTTTTTATGATATATAAAAAATGTATAGTCCCTTCCTGTTTCATTATTCCAATTCATACGCCATTAATTACTTATGCAGTTCTCATTTAGCTCGATGAAAATTAAGGCTCGCCATTATTTTAATGGCAATAAAAATGTAAAATTATAAGCAGGGTAAAGCGCAGCGATCACGAACGTTTAGCTTCAAGTCATATTATCGTGTTCATTTGCATAAACAACCGAAAACCTTATATCTTCAATTTACCATAAACTGCGAATGTAAGCCGTTCGATCGCGCACGAAATTATTCTACACGGCGATGAGTAAATTCTTAAATGAACAAGAACTGATGGGTTAATAGTCAAGAGTGTTTATATAGTTCTAAACCAGCTTTGAGTCAACTCGGTTGGAGCTCAGGTCTTTGAGGATTGCCCGGCTATGCGAAAAGATCTTTATAGAATGGAATGTCGTAGTATATTCTAACAACAATGATATTGATACGTCAAAAAGCAAGTCTCGCTGTTGGACGTACCTTCTTTATTTGCTTCTATTTAAAACGCTGGGATATTCTTCATTTGGTGAAAAAGATTTACTGAGATATCTGCAGATAATTAACTCAGTCCAGTTTATACCACTATCAGGGGGATTATATGTTTCCAGAGTTGGACTTCTAGTATCTTTACGAAATTGTTTTCAACAGCTACAAAGTTGGAATAGAATAGGACTAGATTTTATGAGACGTTTACTCGTTTAGTACAACATGGATGTAGTACTATTAGTGGGCAATGATGGGGTAAACTGTAAGATATCTAAAGGCCTTCAATTTTAAGAAAGATGCATAATAAGTTGGAAATATATATTCACTCAAATAATCGAGAGGTTTTAAATATTACAAGTTTTATTAAATATGAATCTAAGGATGTGTGAATTGGGGCTTCTAGTATTTAAACTAACAACATCACTACTCGTGATACACCTAATTAAAGGACATTCCGATGTGAAATTCAAGAAAAAGGAGTATAAAACAAAAAGCTACAGAGCTTTCAAGTTAACCTGCAAACAAATACTTGTCTATTACTAGACAGAACCTGCGCCTGATCACAAGCACTATGACTGGTCATTGCTAAGTCAGGAAGGACCTCTATATTATGGAACTGTCAGAATTCGCTGGAGAATGCACAATGGACTTAGTGAGGCAACCCACCCTTCACACCTTATAGAAACAGAGAAAGATATCTGAAGCTACAAAATATCTCTGGGGCATGAGACATTAAACAAAACAGTTAATTTGTTGTGAGTGGCAGGGCCTGAGGGTATAAGCGGCATTAAAACGGTCGAACACCTTGCTAAATCAAATGCTAATGTTCAAAAGATCCAAACGTATACCTTCTTGAAGACGATGTTGAGACGAAAGAAAGATTCATTTCGTTTTTGATGAGGACTAACAACTAGAACTTAGCAAGGTTATCTTAGATATTATCTTAACAATGTGAGTAGGTCGACGATTGTGATATATCGCTTCTTGTATCAAGCAAAATAAACAACTAAACATATCTTATTCCGCTGTAGAACGCTGGTCCAGAACCGGCTGAAGTTTTTATCTTAAAAGCCTAAGTACAGTTAGCTTCCTTAGTAGATGTGGGATATCACTAGATGCAGAGTGTTCGCAAGATAACTTTATTGGTTGCAGTCTAATATAATTTAAGATACTACAAGCAACGTGTAGATAAAATGGCTAGCTAAACATTACACTTGAACATTAAGGTTTCCTAATAACACAAGAAGTGTCTCTATCATTAGGAATCTCCTTAAAACATTTGAAATGTTATCATCAAAACTATTCCACTGTATTTAAGTATATTCAGATCATTTGAATTTGTTCATTCAATGTTCCTCTTTTTACATCAAATTTTCAACACTACCAGACTATCATACGTTTTCCGTAATATTAGACAAAAAATCTATCCAGCGATGTTGTTCAGATTATATATTAGAAGTGATGATGATATTAGATGATGGCTATTCAGCAAAATTTAAAATAGAAACATGAAAGCTGTGCTGAGACCTCGGTTGTAACTTTGAGCTTGCTTACATCTATATATCTCTTACCAAAGGCTTCGCTGCATTAGCTTGGCACCATTTAGATATGCCTGCATATAATTGTCTAGTACCCCAGCATAGTTATTTAGATTCTTCCATTTTTTAATGGAAACATACCCCAGTTGCCCAGTTGGCTAAATTCAAAGAATATTAAGTTCCATCCCGGTTCTGTGAGAAAAGAACTGTATCATTTGTGTTCCCTTCATAAAGAGAAATTCAAAAAATATGAAATTGATGAAATTGCAAAAAATCGTGGGATGACGGTGGTTAGATCACCACCATATCATTGCGAAGTAAATCCGATTGAACTGATATGGGCACAGATAAAGGGAGAAGTTTCAAGAAAAAATAATTCTTTTAAAATGAGTGATGTTAAACAGTTGTATTTGGAGGCTGGAAATAATGTGAAGCCTGAAAACTGGGAAAAGGCAGTAAATCATACGATTAAAGAAGAAGACAATATTACTGATGAAATGATCGAGCCACTCGTAAATATTGGTTGCGACAGTTCATCTTCTGATTTCGATTTTGATTTGGATTTGTAGGTAAGAAGTAGTTTTTATATTAAAATTATTATTTATGAACGTAACGTTTAAAAGTCAAAGTTTAAACCCTTATACCTACATAACCCGTTTGACACAATGTTCTTAACATACCTTGTGGAAAAATAAAACATTTTAGAAAAAATTGCACTTTTTTACCTTTAGCTGTTTAGAAGTTATAAGCAGGTTAATTAGGTGAAAATATAAGTGTATACTCGAGGAATAACTTCAAAAAATATTTTAACTGTCTACTAAAAGAAGTGATACGCCTATGGATTACGGACGCTTTATTATTTTAATACTCTCTCATACATAAAAATAGACTATAATATTGGTATTTTATAAATTTTCTGAGTTTAAATATCTCAAACCGTGCGACAATTCCCATGAATATACAACGAAAGGAAAAATAAAAAATGTACAGGAGCAGCCCATTAGCTCAGTCTATGCTCTTCACTCATCTGTTCACGGACTGTACCTAATTCTATAAATTAACATGCTGGTCGGACGTTCGAGAGAGTGTATTTCCGTGTGTATGTCTGTTGTATGTTGTTTGTCTCAAAGGGTAGGTACGGCCAGCGACGGTAAGTTGTTGATTGGGTTATTCTGGTGGCATTTAAATGAGGGGATCGGTTCTCTTGTTATTCGAATGGAATAAATGGCGTTCGGACAATTTGGTTTGCAGCACTGTCGCGGTTTATTTACATGTTCGAGGATTTATTAAAGCATTGTGCGAAGTTGCTCATTGTTATTCATCTTTATGGATAAATTAAGAGATTTTAATTTATATTACAAAAATATTTCAAGGGGCGGAAAGGCTGTGTGACTTTCCTATTAATTGTTTTTTATTAAATTTAATTTCAAATTATTCTTTTTATTTTTATACATTGTGTATAGTCAAAAATAGTTGCCTATATAACTACATAATTGTAAATTTTAAGGACTGATATTTTTTTAGCTGGTTAAACGTTGACAGCTTTAACTACTATCCTTTATTTGTATTTAGATTTGATTGTTATTAAAAGTTCACTGAATTTAAAAGACGTTTATTCTTTGAATACGATTGACGGCTGATATTGAAAAATACAAAAAGTAATATTGAAAAACAACAGAAAATACAAACAATTCAAAACTAATAATATCTTGATTAAGATTGAATTCTATAATGACGCTATAATAACGTTGAAGGTGTATAACGGAACTGTACAATTTGCCTTCCCTCCAAGGTTCCATTTTGATTTACTTACCGCCTGTTGAAAATGTGATATTGGCATTTGCTATTTCAAAACCACACTTTTAATAAAAATAAAATTTTATTTTATCAATAAATAATATTGTTATATTTAAAGCACCTATAATTTATTATTTATTAAGTTAATTTTAGAGAAGCGTGGTGGAGTAAAAGAAGATGTAGTTTCAAATATTCAGAAAGATATATTGAGATGGTATGGATATATAAAGAGAATAAACGAAGGAAGATAGACGATACAAGTTTATAAGACAAGTGTGGATGAGAAAGTTGGAAAAGATCGACCTCAGCGAACGTACTTCAATGAGATTGAGGACGTTTTTAACGAAAGATAGCTTAGAAATACCTTAAGTTTATAATAATATACCTACCTATAGGTATATAGTTTAAGTTTAAAAAATTTGGCTCTCAAGAAATTACAGTCGTAACCTTTGTGGGCTCAGTCACGATAAGGTGGGAACCACCATTTTAGCGTCTCTTGAATTATTTACTAAATGATGGATGATTATAAGTTAAGTCAATAGAAAGGCAACTAAAACGAATTGGATATCTAGTACGAATTTATAAAATAGGTTTTCATAAATTAACAAACAAATATATATAGATAAGACAATTAATTCATCAGTAAAACAATTCGCAGAAATAACGTATAACTATAATATCAAATTGTAATTTTTTATCTGTAAACTCTTGAAAAAAATATTTTCGAATGTTAAAAACTTGTTTACGAATGAATTATAAAGCCGATCCTGTCCCATTTTCGGCAAACAGATAATGATAGTATAATTGTATATTACCGTGTATTGTAATCATTAAAATTGGATACAAAAAATATCATTACTACTATATAAAAAATGCATTATTATATATTTTTTCTTATTTAGAAAAGGTACTGAAGTAAAGTACATTTTATCACAAAATGAGGAATTAATTAATTTAGTAATCTTTTATGCCTCAGTAAATGAGCATTTTGATATTTACTGTCACCAACTATAGTGAATGGGAAAGAAACATTCCAAATGTTGAACGTTTCTTGAGTACCATATCGCAAAATCGAAGAATGACCAGCTGTTTTAACACTCTGAGATGTACCTAGAAGAAAATGTATTAGAAGTTATGGACAAAGTAAATAACAACATTGAAAATTATACCAAAAGCTTTATTAAGTAATATGAAAAAGGTATAAAAAAGTTTTAATCAAAGCCTTGCAAGTAGCCAACCAAACATAAAATAGATGCGCAAAATTAACTATGCCATTTGAAGGTTCCTATCTATTTTCGTATTTCTGATATTTCTCATACTTCCCAGTTTTTAATATCTATCATCAACATTTTTATTTTCATCTTATTATCTTACCACTTCTAGGGCAAGTAATTCATTTAGCTACCGATATCTTGGAAGACCTATAACTTTTGAGTAAATCAAAGATTTTTCAGTAATTATCTGATCCTGCGACTTTTTTCAAAGCTCGAACATATATTACGATCTGTTATGATCACATGCGATGGGTTGAAGCCGACTAGGGCGAAGGGACGAGAGGGCGACACGCGCGCGGGCAGGCGGGCCTCCGAAACGACCCTCAATGCATTATTTATGGTATTATCGATTTTCGAACAACCGACTCTCCGTCCTCTTCTTACTTTTTATTTCTCTCTCTTTATTCTTCCCTCTCGAATTTCGTTCCTATCTCGTTTACAGACAATTTCGGCCTCGAGGACGTGTCATCCAGTTCGAGTGGTTATTTTGTTTCTCGGGTTTCTTGGAGTAGAAAGCTCTCGGCTGAATGAAGTTTTTGGTTGGAATCTAGCGCGTAGGTGCCACGAACAATCATCAAATAATTGCAAATCAGTGGGAGTCCAATATCGTTTCGATTGTAATGAATATAAAAGATGATTGTTAAAAATAGTATATGGGTGCTTAATTAAGGTTTTTGGGAAGAAATTATTTCCATGTGTATTTGTCTTTATGCTTTTGATATATAATATCACTTATTAAAAATATATACAAAGTAACGCCACGGCAAATAATAATAATAATAATAATAATAGCCGTTCCTTCCCCTACACAAGTCACTCTGCTGGCTTCAGAGGTTGAAATTCACTTATAAGGGGATGAATTAAGGAGAGTATTATTATATTATTAATATATTATCATAATCAATACTGCCTAAACAATACTTTTTGAAATTTTTAAAATAAAATAAATGAAGTCGTGGAAAATTTAAAAATTTAATATAAAATAACTGAATCCAACAGAAACACCTCATTTTTATCACAGATGATGGTGCCTTAATAGATTCCTGACAATTACCTGAGTTTGAACTAAAAGAAAAAGGAGTACGTAATATGGAATTTAATATTAGTTTTATCAGTTGTACCTACTATTACTAACTCTCCGAAAGGGGAAAAACCCAGAAAGGACCACAAAGTTCTGCCTGGGATAAGCTACAAGGATGCAGCTACGAGCAACCTTAAAATAGCTATAATAGACAAGGATAACCCTTACGGTAAGATAACTACCAAAAGAGAGGTCCTCGTCAAAAAGACACTGATGGGAGAGCTGGACAAAACAATCTTGTCCGCCTCCTGCAGCAAAACCAAGCCACCCACATTCAGGTCTTGGTCGTACTCTGGTGAAATCATCAGAGTAACCTACGACGATGACCTGACGTTGGAATGGCTAAAAACCAAGGTACCAACCTTAAAAACATGGGAAGGAGCAACACTCGTAGCTGTAAGGAACGGATGAGCTCCCCAAGCTCACCAAAGCCTCTCTCTGGATCCCAGAGGAAGCGCAAGCTGACCTTGACGAGAAAGAGGTTGTGCTCAAGCGACTTGAGGGGCAAAACCCAAACTTGCATGTAGCGAAATGGTGCACCTTTCACCAAGAAATCAAAAAAGACCCTAAGGGCCGTCTCTTCGTCTTCGGCATCGGAGACGAAAACATGGAACCCTAAAGGCCAAATCAATGAGGATGAGCTATGCGTTAACCTCATTGATTATAAGGCCAAAGGTCGAAAAAGAGGCTGAAGCGGGGCCTAGTGAAGACTCCTTGGTAAAGGACCCTCTTTCTCCCAAATTTAAGCCAACGTGAGCCAGAAAAAATGGCAATTGATGACCTCCAGCAAGAAAACTTCGAGGAGCCAAAAGAGACCACCCCCTCCCCAATTTCGGAAGAAGGGATGGTCGAATATATAACCATCTTGCTGCCCAATTTTCAACGGAAGATTGGGAAGCAATAAAAGAGGCAACGGGTATACAATGTAACTTGCAGCACAAAAGGGTGGCTATGGCAACATTATGCCACCTTGATGAGCTGCAAGATACAATAGCACTCATCCAGGAACCCTGGATAATAAAAACCAAAATTTTGGGTCATACAAATCTAAATGGTTTAATTTTTAGGTTTCCCAGCAACCAACAACCTAAGACAGCTATTTACATTCCTAGGAAATACAAAGCCCACTCAATGTCACACCTTTCCACCTCCAATTTAACTGCGGTTAGGATGGAATACGCAATTAAAAAGGAAAATAGAACGTTAATCCTGGCATCTGCATACCTCCCCTCCGACGCAACCACGCCACTACCCAGCAAAGAGATGGAGGATCTGATTGAATACTGCCTGAAACAGAAATTTGAGCTGGTAATAGGTTGCGACTGAAACGCTCATCACTTCAGTTGGGGCAATACGAATAACAACGCTAGAGGTAAGTCACTTTATAATTATTTAGTTATCAAAAATCTTTGTATTTTAAATAAAGGTAGCACACCAACATTTTTAAACTCTCGCAGTCAAACATTAATAGATATCACTTTATCCACAACTGGTATCTATAAATCAATTCTAAACTGGCAAGTGTCTGATAACATTTCGATGTCAGACCACCGCTGGTTAACATTCAAAATAAACTTACTGTTGCCGACCTCCACGCTATCTCGGAACCCTAGGAAGACGGACAGGGCAACCTATGCCCACCTTCTCCAAGAGGCTCTGAGAAAGATGGAGGCCGAAACACCAAACAATAATACTGCTTTGGAAAAGTACACGAACACATCTTACCTCAGAGAATACAAAAAATCGTCAGACAAAAACAGAGAGATGCATGGAAATCGAAGATTTTTCGCAGGCAGCGAGGCTTCAAAAGGCTCTCTCAAAAGATCCACGCCGAAGCATTGGTGTGCTAATCAAAAAGGAAGGCACGAAAACTGCCAACCTCGAAGATAGCATCAAATTTCTGCTGACAACACACTTCCTTGACTCGGCCATCACCGATGTGCCGGACTGGGCAGAGGCAGAATACAATCCATCTGTCTATGATTGGCAAACTGCCAAACACATTGTAGATGATGAAAAAATTAGATGGGCAATATCCAGCTTATCTCCATTTAAATCGCCAGGACCTGCCGGTATCTATCCAGCCCAACTTTAGTGGGGTCTAGAAGAATTCACACCGCACCTGATGGGTATATCCAGATCCTCGTTGGCTCTGAGGTATATCCCCCAAAAATGGAGAGAGGTAAAAGTGGTATTTATACCCAAACCTGAAAGGATGGATTATACTGCCCCAAAAACATACCGACCAATTAGTCTGACATCATTTTCCAGGAAGACATTGGAAAGGCTATGCGAAAGGTACATAAGGGATACGGTGATTACAACAACACCACTACACCCAAACCAACATGCATACACCCCAGGCAGATCTACTGATTCAGCCCTTCATCTAGTTGCTGGCCGGATAGAAAGATCCCTGGACAATAAGAAATCCGTCTTGGGTGTTTTTATAGACATAGAAGGTGTTTTTGATGAAACCACCTTCCCAAAGATAATACACTCACTAACCAACAGGAATGTTCCACAAATACAACCGACTGTTTAATGTCACTGAATGAGCTCCGTATTTCAACCAAAGTAGAGTCGCTTCAATTTAATTAAAACGCAATACTATTAAATTACATAATTAATTATTTATTGACCCATTGATCGACTAATAAGAACCCGCCTTTAGGTCTAACCTACCTATTTTTGACTATCTGGTATAATTTATGACCTACACTTTTGTTACATCCTGTATAGTTACTTAATTTAAAATAAATACCATTTTCGTATTGATTCTGAAGATATCAAAAACAATAGTTTTGAAAGACAATGGCAACCCTACGATTAATCACTGACGGGGCGCCCTTATTTAGCATAATAAAGTTTTTGGGGTTTATGTTAATAGCTATTCTAACACTTTCTATTCTTGATGCCATTTAGAAGAGGACTATCATCTTAATTAACGATTTAAATCGTACTAAACATTTCGCTCCCCTTGATTATCGACTTGCAGTTGGTTATCTGTCTCTATTCTATATAGATAATTCTCTTCCATTATTGCACCACTAATTAGGCCAGTCCGAATGACTCAACAATTCAGTAGTTAACAGCACGTAGAGACGGTCAAGAGTAACTCGCAAATATTTAACGACAGAGTTCCGAAAAATTATTGAAATATTCAAATGTATGTTAGTGATACTCCCCTTGTACTCCAACATTATTGACCACGTGTCACTGTCAATTGTCAATACTCCTGGCAAGTCAGGACGGACGGACGGAGAGCAGCAGTCGGAGTCTTAGCTCGACCGCGTAGCCACGCAATAAAATATAGAATAGTGTAATACTAATAAATAAACAGTTGTGGTGGTTTAATGACTTTTGTCTACGACCACTTAATAATAAATCAATATTCTACCTCCTAACTAAAAGCATATGGTACCCATATATCACTAGAGTGAATTATGATAATTCACGCTTTTGTAATTCTGGCACATTCCGGTAGATAACTAAAGATAGGCGATACTTTTCATAACGATATTTTCTAGATCAAAAAATCGATAAATCAAAAAATCGAAAAATCGAAAATGGGAAATCGAAAATCGAAAATCGAAAAACGAAAAATCGAAAAATCGAAAAGTGGAAAAAACAACAGTTAGTTACCTATGTTTAATAAAAACTTTCCATTCTACACTTAAATTTATTTAATAAAGAAACCATAATGGTCGTGGACAAAGTATAGTATTAGACTCGCAATTTATGGCCATTATTAACTCGGGTGACTTGCGCCCCTCGCCTACGGCTCGGGACGCAAACGTCACCCTGCGTGAATAACGGCTACCATAAATTGCTCGTTTAATAATATACTATTATTGGGGTGAATTATCCCTTACCTTAACATGTATATCACTAATAATTTTTCAAAAAAATACCTATTTGCTTTTTATAATAATTTTTTTTTACATTTTGTTGACATTCTCAACATTTTATGACTGGAGAAAAATACAAAAGCTTTCACCAGGTCAGAAATTAAATATCAATCCCTATTATCCTTGTATTGGTATATCTATGATACAGTTATTTCTCTCCTATCTCTAATGTCCTATCTCTTTTCTCGATATGACGGTTCTGTATTTTGTCAATCGATAACCATTTTTGACATTGTCTTTTTCATTTCTTTCTGAATTTGGATACTGGAAGATGTAATTTTATAAATCGAAGTAAGTAGTAATCCGCTGGTAATTTATTTCATTCTGAATCTCCAAAGCCGTCAGATTTATTATGCTTTGCAATTTTATGATGGTTTAAACTTAGAAGGAAGTAATCTAAACTTTGGATGTTATGTTGTGAACAGATTTATTTTCTTGGAAGTTAACTAAATGGTGTATGGTGTGTGCCGGTGATTTGGATAAACAGATCTACCTGACACCTGTGCGATAGGAGATCGACAACAGCTAGTTTCGAACATTCTTTTATCCTTTAATCCTTGAAGAAATCTAATAATTAATGTACTTACCTTTAGTTGATAATATATAAACTTTAAAGTAAATTTTGTTTTATAAACTATTGGATATTAGAGTTTGTTTCTTGCCTTATCTAAAGCTAAATAAGTAAATTTAACCACTGATATTGGTTTCCATTTTTTTAACATTAATATATTAAATTGTGATTACAATGCCGAACCTACGACCCTTGTGCTTTAGCTTCAAACACATTTCATTGTAAAAACTATATTTTTTATTTATCCTGACTATATCCGAAGTAATTTATCTAATTTTGGAAAAACGGTTTCAAATTTTAAGCTCGTCTGCAACATTTTATCGCCCAAAACCATTTCCGGCACCGATTAAGCGCATTTTGATAAGTCATCAGTACGTCGCGTTACGCCCATTTATAATTCTAGGAAAGTAAATTGAAATTTGCGAGAAATCCTCTCGTTCGACAAAGTTTCGACTTGCACTAACTTCAAGTTAGAACAATTAATTGAATTAAGACAAACCCAATTAGAAAGTGAACGAGCGAAAAGGGGGAGTAAATCGTTCAATACTCTGGAATTGCACCAAGGCTGGTAGTCGAGAGTGGATTAGAAAGGGATTTACGGGTTTTTATGTATTTAGTTATACTATTGTGACTCGATTTGTATACGTTATGTGAACTGTTTCTAAAGAAGGTCGAGGCGGATAATTCTTCTTTTTTAAATTAGTCGATCTTATAAAGTACATTATCAAGCAATATACTGTCGTGCAACCTGATCCCTTTGCCGTTACAGCTGTCGCTTTTTCTATGTTTCGAAGCCGCAGGATAAAGACAAATGCACTCTTTCGAAAAAGTGCAAGAGAAATCGGTGCGCGTCGGTTGAATCATATAGGAAGAAATTCCTTAAAATTCTAGACCGTCGAGAATGTACTAGTGCAGAATTGGCTTTATAT